GTTGTTGTTTGCTTTAATGTTTAATCAGACCAAACTGAAATTTAATTGTTAACAAATTAAGATTAGCACGCGCTAATAGGAACTTAATCGTGTCGGGTCATAACTCACATACAATATTGCGGAATTCTGTTGGGCCCATTGTTGCTTGTTAGACCACTTGTCGCTAAATCTAAGCAAATAGCTTATAAATCATATTGTAGCCAAGCCAATTGCTTTATTTAATTCTGTCCAGCATTAGTACTAAAATTGAATATTTTTCGATTAGTTAATGCTGGTAGTTGAAATTGCTTTAATTTGTAATTTATTGGGCGTTAGGTCATAGAATAATGTGTTTAAGCCGAACGCCTAAAGCTGGGGATGTATTTATTGCTAAATGAAAGTAAATTGAATTTATTTAAAGTGAAAATTGGACGCATTAGTAGAAAGTGAATATAGGTACATAAAACAGGAAATGTTATGATATATGCACACTTCAAGCCCATGAACCGGCTTGAAATTCGAAACCTAGGCTTAACAGGAATTGAGCTAAACTAGTTTAAGCCAGGCACTAAACGGATTGCATAGACATCCTAAACGTTGCCCAAGATGAGAAGTAAGCAATGCGTGTGTTGATTATTAGTTGAATGCTAATTTAAAAGGGGAATTAGAATAATGAAAATTGCAGACAATAGCATATCTTATCATTTTGTTAGTATCTCTTATCTAATGATACTTCTAAAAATAAATGTCGCTCTTGGCTCTGATTGCCGAAAAATTGTACACACGTGCAAATAAGTGAACAGTTTTAAAGCACGTAACTGGGGAATGGGTACTGGGGACCGGTGACCGGGGACCGGGGTCTGTGCACTGGGAATAGCTGATATTCATGCTAAGCAAATTAAGTGAAAGTCCCCCAAAAACCGGTCGCTGAGCTATGCCCAAGTGCTTGGGCTCACTTGCGCCACAACTACATATATGATGCGATGACTTTTGTTGTATGCGTGTGCGCGTGTGTGTGTGTGTGTGTTCTGTACTACATTTCGCGTGCCTCAAATGGCACAATTTGCAAAACTATGTGCTTAATAAGTTAAATGGATAATTGAGTTAAGAGGCGTTATCATCCAAGGAGCATTGCCGATGAAGCGAGACAATTGCTTAAAATCCAATTTTTTTTTTTGTGAGTTCTATGCATTTGTATATCCGGATTAAGATGCTTGGCGAATCAATGCCTTGCCCCGTGGCCTGGCTAAAGTTCTATGTCAATGCCAATTGTAGCCGGCACGCAATGCTGCCCGGAGACAATAAATTGCTGTAGATTTGTTTATAAATAGCAGGGCGCGAACAAAGAAATATTAAATTGCAAAAAATTATGACACGCTTCGTATTGTGTGCAATTTTTCTATTGAACTTGCTCTAGAGATGAATGGGAAGGTGAACTTGAATTTAATTTGATTTTAATGAAACGCCAGCACGCATATTGGACACTTAGCCGGCGTATTTGGTATTTATATTTAAATTGCTTTTTTGTGTGTTTATCTAATTTACTTGCAGGCCCTTAATGCCTGAATAGATTGATCATACGCCCCATACACACAGCACGCAATATGACAGATTTGGAGTCAACAAAAGTCGAAAAGCACAATGGCCATCAGCCGCATCACAACAAGTAAGTTGAAATCAAGACTAAACTATAAAACAAAAAACAAGATAATACAAATCGGTTCCGTGTTATGCCAATGGTTATAACCAATGGCCAAACACTTGTCAAGGAAATGTTCTTGCTGCTTGAATGCAAAACAAACTACTTCCATGTAGAATTTGTATACTGTGCGCATATGTAATATTTTAAAATGCTGCAGCTTCAGCAGCCAAATGGGTCAAATGCAAACCAGTTGTTAATGCCGCGCATAGCAGAGAAACAGGTTCTGGCCCAACTGGCAACTGCAGACGACGAAAAATGTTGTATACAAGTAAACCAGTAACAATTTATAAATGGCCAGCGAAAGTGGCTTCCCATTTGATTCGGCCTTGGCCAGCAGCGTTATCAGACAAAGCAACTATTTTCATATGGTACTTCATAATAACCAAGCAATTTCTCTGTTCTATTCATGCCCGATAGCAATGAACTTGTTGAGAGTGAACCCCTCACCTGGAGATTCTGGCGCAAGCAGCGTTACATTGTGGTGCTGTTGGCCTTTTTTGGCTTTTTCAATGTATACTCGCTGCGCGTGAATCTTTCGGTGGCCATTGTGGCTATGACCGAGAATCGCACCGTAGTGGATGCCGATGGCAATATATCCTACGAGCAGGACTTTCCGTGGGACCCCAAGCAGAAGGGCCTAATACTGAGCTCCTTCTTCTATGGCTATATCATGACACAGTTCCTAGGCGGCTACATTGGCACCAAAGTTGGCGGCAATCTTGTAAGTTTGATAACAGATAATATTTCCTTATATAATAGTTAAATTTAAAAATTATTTAATAACTTTATTTTGTATATTTTAATTTCTATATAAAATTTCAATTATTGTATATTTTATATATATTTTTTCTCTTATTTCCTTCCCTTTTATGTGACAGGTTTTTGGCTTGGGCATCGGCACAACTGCCATCCTCACCCTGCTCACGCCATTGGCAGCTAACCACAGTTTGGGAATGTTCCTGGCTGTGCGCATTATTGAGGGCGTATTCGAAGGCGTCACATTTCCGGGCATTCATGCCGTGTGGGCTAGGTGGTCGCCGCCATTGGAACGCTCTCGCATGGCATCAATTGCATTTGCAGGCAATTATGCTGGAACGGTGATTGCAATGCCATCGTCTGGTATGTTGGCAGCACGCTACGGCTGGGCGAGCGTTTTCTACGTATTTGGAGCAATTGGTGTAGTCTGGTTGATAATGTGGTTGCTGTTCGTACGTGCGGGGCCAGAGCTGGATCGGTTCTGCTCGAAAGAGGAGTGTGAGTACATACAGAAATCGATTGGCTATGTGGGCGCCAAGAAGATCAAGCACCCTTGGAAAGCGTTTTTCACATCGATGCCCTTCTATGCCATTATTGCATCACACTTCTCTGAGAACTGGGGCTTCTACACGCTGCTCACACAGCTGCCCAGCTTTCTTAAGGGTAAGCTGTTTACTAGGAGCTCAATCTGGAAAGTATTTAATATTATTTTCCTTACAGATACGCTTAACTTTGATCTGGGCAAAACTGGCTTCTTATCGGCTCTGCCCTATCTGGCTATGGGCATTTTGCTGGCCATATCTGGTTATCTGGCCGATTGGCTGCAGGTGAAGGGCATCTGGACTACAACACAAGTGCGTCGAAATTTCAATTGTGGTGCTTTCTTGGCTCAAACGGTCTTCATGATGCTAACAGCTTATATTATGGATCCCACTTGGTCGGTTGTTTTTATTACAATTGCCGTCGGCCTGGGCGCCTTTGCTTGGTCCGGATTCGCGTAAGTTGCCACAAATTCAGCTGTCAGCTGTGCAGCGCCTTAATTCTTGAAACGCTTGCAGTGTCAATCACTTGGATATTGCACCACAGCACGCCAGTGTTCTGATGGGCATTGGCAATACGTTTGCCACCATTCCCGGCATTGTCAGTCCCCTGCTGACGGGCTACATTGTGGGCGATAGTGGAGACCGTTATGAATGGCGCCTGGTCTTCTTTATATCGGCTGGCATTTATCTTGTTGGCTGCGTCATCTACTGGTTTTATGCTTCGGGCGAGTTACAGGAGTGGGCCAAGACGCCCGAGCAAAGGGCTGCGGAGGCCGAACAGAAACAACTGCAGCTGACACAGACAACTGGATTCGTTAACACGGCGGCCGAGCTAAAGGACTAACCGATCCAGCACCGTCAGGACAATCAACGTGTTCACTCCAAGCGCAGTAGTAACCAATACCAGAGACACATTTTAGTTTAGTTTATACTCGTATTCATTCACAGTATCATATTGTGCCTTAGAATTTCTTCTTTGTTATGTGATGCTAACAAGTGGATTTTATTCATTTTAGCCCATTGACTATTTTTAGAGCTGTTTGTGCACTCGCAGCGAGTGCAGTCGCAAATAAACAAAGTTTATATTACTCGAGCCGGCATATATTATGTATTGCAAAGGATAAGAATGCGATTCTTTCAGAAGATATTGCAAAATCTTTGCTATTCTTACAGAAAGGGGACATTATTGGAAAGAGAGTAAGCTGGAAAATGTGCCCATAAGAATACCTTGTTACGACCAAAGATTTTCACAGATGATATAAATATATTTTGTTTTTATACGATGCCTAGATTATTGTCCGATTATCTGCTTACTTATGTAAGTAAATTTGTACAATACCTCGCAACTAAACTTGTTCCATGAAAATATATTTTCTTTCATGCCGCAGAGTATGCAATCGAATATTCTCATTTACCTGGAATGAGCTTCGGAGCACTTTAAAGTGCATCCCCAAAAATGTGCAACATTTTTATACAAAGCTTTTTTATTCAAAATAAAACCTTTGCAATATGTTGATTAGTTTTGTAGAAATTCAATTTGTAAAGCGCGTAAGCCAGTTTCCATTAAATTGATTGAAGTTTTATTTGTTCGGCGAATCGAACCGATTTTGTGGATAACTTTCTTGACTGTTTTTCACAGACCCTGAAGGATAGAGTTAACGTACTCTATACATACATATAAATATTGAATCACGTTACAGCCTGGCAGCCGTGTTGGCGCACCGGCCTTGCTTTTTTTTTTCGATTTGTGTATGCAACGCATACTGATAAGCTGATAAGTGCGCCGTGTGCAGCACGGCCAATCGTGCTGGACGCCAAAGCGAGGCAGGTGTTGGGCGCAGAATTTGTTTGCATAATGCCAACAACTGATAGGGCCGAGCAGTTACGCACTTAGCGCACGAGCTGCTGATAAGCCTGGCCCATTCCTGTCTGCTTGGTTTTGCACCCGACATTGAATTCGAAATTGCTATAAATATATTATGGGTGCTCAGTAGAGGCATCAACAGTTGAGTACAGCAAGTGAAAAGCTTTGCAGTAATTAAACATTTTTCATTTCGGAAAGCTATCATCAATTAAAAAAAAACATAATGGGCTGCAAGGGTTGTGCAACTAGTAAGTTTAATATATATTTTAAATAAATAATACGAATTGGATACTGACCAACTTAATTTCTACAGATTGCCAGTGCACGGCACAGAAGTGTGGCAGCAATTGTGCCTGCAATAAGGATTGCAACTGTGTGTGCAAGTCTGGACCCAAGGAGCAATGCTGCAGCAGCAAATAAACAAGAAATGGCAACAGTTTCTGTAATCCAAAATTGTTCATATAGGCTTGAAACATAAACATAATTGTGTTTACATTTTTCGAAATGTTCATCACATGATTCAATAAAAAATGGCATCAACCTAAAGCATGCATTTGTCTATTAAAAAAGTTTCATTTTAGAATAGTAAAGCTCAGCAAAATAATAATTTAAAGTTTATTTATTTAAACTAAATATATTCAGAAAATTGCAACTCTACATAACAATGTTCTCTGTATCTCCGCTTCGCTTTGTCACTCAACTTTAAATAACATTTTGGGCAACCGCAAACTGTCAATCAAACTTAAACTAAAATATATATAAGTATATATAAACAAAAAATTGTAATATTTTTTATTGCTGACTCAAAATAATGTGTGAGCGCATTTTGCTTGCAGGAAAATTTCAAATCTCTGTTTAAATAGGTTTTAGCTTTTATATCAAACATAATATGCTGGCACTTTTCATATTTGGCTTGACATTTTTTAGGGCTTTTTCCATCTGAAAGCAATCAAATATTTTTGGCTTGCACAGCAGTAAAACAATTTTATTGCTGACGCACTAGTGTTTTTTATCATGCCCATCATAATTAACTAACTCTTACTAATAACAGTTTTGACTTTTATGTCCACTAGAAAAGCATGCGACAGTCTGTTGTGCATTTGTCAGAATGCGGAATTAAAAGAGGGGCACTTGTATAAACATTGTGGCATCTGAAGGACATGCCGGGCTTTTGCATCCGCTTCCGCTCTGTGTGTGCTGTCAAAATATTTATGAACTGACCACCAACAACAATAATAACAACAACAATAACATTAGCATAATCAAAATGTGCGTGTTTTGCTTTTGGCACTTGCGTCAGTTGCGTGTCGCGAGCGTTTTGTTCGGTATTTTGTATCAGCGGACCTCTTACGGGGTCGCGTCTGGGGTTTGATATTGGATCTGGTTCTAATGGGTAAATCAGGTGTAAATGATTTGGCATTTAGTTGCTTGAGCTGAGCACAAGCTAATCGAATTATTGCGTGCATTGAGTTCTCTCTCAAAAAATATTCATTGTTGTAAATGTTCAGTTTAAAATAAGAGCCGTTGTTTCAAAAGAAATATGCCTAAATTGTCGACGTGTTTGGTAAATGCCTGCGAGCAAGGAAATATTCAAATCCTCCAGGCGTTGCCCAGAAGTAAGTGTGTATGTGCGCGCATTTAGCATGACCTGAAGCTTTTTCTTTGCAGAAAATCGCGTTAATTACTTCCCTTCGCGCTCTATAATTAAGGGTTCAATAATCATACTTCTATTCAATATGTGTTTACTTTATTTCGGCTTTCTCGCTTATAAGTATCTAAACACTTTACAAGATGAAGAGAAGCTTCAAATAACCAACTATTTATGTAGCTTGGGTGCTTTAGTGGTTATCATCTCACTCCTCCGTAATAGTGTACGTTGGCATCATAATATCAGTTTAACTGAAGTGATTTATAATGCCTTTTCACCTACAGGACATGTCAAAGAATAATCCATACTTCTACTACATTTAGATCGTATTTGAGAAAGAAAAAGCGACAGTGTTTAATAGATAATCCAAATGTGCGTCATCATTTTATTGGAATTATTTTATCCTGCAAGTATTGAACAGTATTTACACAGGACTTTTCTAAGAGGAATCCTTCTCATAACTTAAATTCATGTACACATAATATATACTTGTAAGTATCTCATGTTACTTTAAAGAATAAATAATTCAACAGTATGTGCTGAATTATTTTGCAGCTACACGATCTAATTGTGTCATTTCTACAGCATCTATCCAGAAGAATCCTTACAGTAACAGTAAAAGTTATAGAAATAACGAAAACGCTGTCGTGTGTTAAATAAACTTTTAAGTGTATATAATTGCTTACAGCATTGGAAGCTCTGGTTTCAGACGGGTCGGTTTTGTAGAACCCAAAAAATAAATAATGAAAAGCGAAGTTAATGAAAATGTGTTTTAGTTCTTTTCCTGTTTAATTGGAAACCTATAAAATATGTGTTTAATACCGATTCCATAAGAATTTTTGATGCTTGCAGCCTTATATTCCACTTATTCGACAACACGCTTGTGGCGTACATTTTCCGTCTTATATCACATATATCATATATACATCTAAAAATGTCCAGGTAATCTTCCATCCTAATACCTTAAGCTAGCATATTGCCACCTGTTACACGTGGCTGGGTCAAGTAGCTGGAGTCACGCAATTGAACACAAGGACACAATGTGGCAATTTTTCATTGGGTCAATGACGTCAGGTTGCTTTGCGATTTGCGTCATGTACATTAAATTCATATTTCTTTTATTACAGATAATAATTTTGTTAGATCTTTTTATAGTTAATAGTTGGAGTAAGTTGTTTAAATTTAATATGTTGGTTGATCAGCGTCGCATTTCACGTTGGTATTTCGGTGGTGTGGCCAGCTCAATGGCAACGATGGTTACGCATCCGTTGGATTTGCTGAAGGTATTGATCCAGACGCAGAAGGAGAAATTATCTATTGTGGGAACGACCCGGAAAATTGTACGTGAACAGGGCGTGTGGGCAATGTATAATGGTATCTCAGCCTCTCTACTGCGTCAATACACTTACACGTTATCCCGTTTTGGTCTCTATACTGCTGGTGCCCGTATGATAGACACCAGCTCGATGACGAACAAAGTCCTGCTGGCCGCGTTTGGCGGCGCCGCTGGGGGATTTATCGGTGCTCCGGCGGATTTGCTAAACGTGCGTCTGCAGAACGACGTAAAGCTGCCCCAAGAGAAACGAAGAAAGTAAACAAATTCATATACGCCCATAGCATAGGTATTGGGTCAGTCTTGTTATAGTTTGCTGATATTCTGAATTGCAGCTACAAGCACGCCTTCGACGGACTTGTGCGAGTCTGTCGCGAAGAGGGTTGCACACATCTATTTAATGGCGCCTCTATTGCTGCGACGCGTGGTGCTTTTATGACCGTTGGCCAAATTGCCTTCTATGAGGAGACCAAGGACCTTCTTGTCGCCGCAGGTTTTCCTAGTCGAACGGACACGTACATCTTCGCATCGATAATATCGGCGATTGCGGCAACAGCGCTCACCCAGCCCATCGATGTGGCCAAGACGCGGCGCATGAATGCACGTCCTGGTGAATACGCAAGCATGGCAGATGTGTTCTACAAGACGGCCCTGGAGGGACCAATGGCATTTTTCAAGGGCTCGATTCCGGCGTTTGCACGTCTGGGTCCGCACACGGTATTGCTGTTTATAACGCTCGAGTTTTTACGTACGCGTTTTGGCTATTTAGCTGACAGTGCATAGCATTAGTGTCACAGAATGCACTTGCTTAGCTCTCAAACTTGGACTTGCTATATAAATTATATTGTGGCATGCTGACTAAAATTTTGACAGTAACGCTTCGCAAAACCAAATAACACATTTTAATATCGAAATAAGGTAAATAATAAATTGTGAAAATAATAAATAATAAATGTGGCTTTCTTTGGCAAATTCAATTGAAAATAATTAATGTGCAGTCGGCGCATCTGGAATTATTATAATGGGAGCCATTAGGATGCTCAAAAATATATGTAAATTTGTTATGCGCCCTTGCAGTCAGTCCATATATGTATGGATTATTTGCAGCATTATGCGCTGTCGTTTCTATAAGCAGCCATTAATATGCGATGTCTGTGACATAAATCGGGGGATCTCTGCGGTTTGAATTCATTGTCGCATGGTCGTTGCATGGGCGTTGACAATGACAAAGGGCAAAGGACAATGCTATGCCCGCATAATTATTTACGCAACGGTCAAGGACATTGTGTCAGGCAAATAATCACGCACACACAAGCACAGAAACACAGGAAAAATGATGCGGTTGCGCTACTTTGAAAATAAGTTAAATATTTATGACAAAACTGAGCTCTTAACTCGACAAAACATGGCAAAAGTAGCTTGAAAGCGGCTGCAATTGTTGGTAATTTAAATGCAGGCCAATAAATTGAAGCACATTTTTAACTGGCGCTTTTATGTCCCGGCACTCATTTTGCCTGCGAACATTATATCCTTTATGCACGGAAGTCCATTTAAACTGGCATCGGGATGGGACCAGGAAGCGAGACAGTAAAGTGGCTGACTAAAGACCCGAGTTGCAGCTCCCAGTTCTCAGTTCGCAGTGTGCACAGCGTTTAAATACCTTCGTGTCCGGCGCCATTTCCCTAGCCAGGCCGGGCAAGGGAAATGCAATAAACTTCTAAATCAGTCGATTAAGCTGCGAGTTGAGAGTTACGAACAATGCTAGTGCCCCTAAAAGCATGCTTCGTCTATATACGCGGACACACACACCCACATACCGTACACACACAGCCGCACAATCACAAACTCACGCAGTCGAAACAAGAGTTGTGATAAATGTTGAGCAATTAAAATAAGTAGCGAGCACATCACGTGGGGTTTCGGGCAAAAATGTAAAGGGGCAGGAGTCCTGGTATTTCTTTAGCTTGGTGTGGATTTTGCTGTCAGCAAAGTGCAACGCGCAGTTCTCTAAAGAAAATAGAGCAGAGAATTGCAAATAAAAAATGAAGATAACTAACTAGTGCTGCTATAAAAAGTGCCGATAGTCTTGTACGAAGGAGCGTGGCTGAAAATGTCAGTGAAAAGTTAGATTAATCTTGAACTACACAGTAAGAAATTGACAAAACGAAGCTCTAACGAGAAACTTGTTACGATTCGTAGTTAATTTAAGTCCCAAGTGGTTGTAAAATAAGTATATTTTATCTTTTTTAAGCAAAATCATATTTTATTGAAGTTTCGAAATTCTGGAAATTAATGAGCCTGAGGCTTGATTGGGAATTGCAATCCGCACATTCAAGACGGAGTTTACTTGATTTGAATTTGAAATTATTTAAATCTTCTACCAATGTATAATTACACTTCAAATTGCATACCCTGAAGGCAGTTTCAGTATTGCGAAAAGTATCACAATTGCCTTCGGAACTGACTTTATATCCTGGCTTCTCCTGAATCTAAATTTAATGCATTTGAGTAGATAAATTGTCTTGAATTTTAATGTGGCTGTTACCTATGAAATTTTGGCCTGTATCATCACCTTAATCGCACTAAGTGCTTTTGGCGTATTTTCAAGATTGAATATCCTTTTATATTGGCATTCAGCCTGGGCTTTATTTAGTGTAAACACTTTTCTATGCCTTTTTCAGCATCTGTTGGCAATACATTTACGCCAATTGCTCTTACATTTAAATGCCACACACATACACACACAAGCCGGCGAGCATAACAGTTTATCTTTATAATTAGATCTTGGCAACTGTATCTTTCAGCCGACATTCCGTTGATAGCAAGCATTGCAAAGCGCCCGGAAAGTAGTTTACAATGCCAAGTTTCAGTCAGTGCCAGCGGCACAACAGTTCGCCAAATGGCAACACGTACCAGAAGAACAAGAGGAAAACTAGAACCAATCCCGAAACCAAAACCTGGAACCAAACAACCAACAGCCGCGACTGGCTGACTGGTGAAACTCGGCTCATTAAAGATTAAGGCACATTAGCGCCAATGGTGTGAGAGAGACGGGAGGAGGGGCAGCAAATTTCAGCACCATCAGCATAAATATTTATGTAAATTGGGATTAAAAGTATTTTGTATGTATTTTAGAGTGAAAACTTTGGCAATGAAACGTTATTGTCTACCCGCACTTCCGTCGAAGCCGTTGTATACATTTCAAATTGCTATTTAATTACTTAAAATCTAAAATTGCAATTGCCTTAAACCTAGCGTGGCCTGTCTTTAACGGCTGACCTTGCCCCGGCCGGAGATTCAGCTGCTGCGAAGCATGAAGTTAGCTGCATATTTTGGCCAGCAAGGCTCACAGAGTTATCTGTGGAGCTGCATTGTTTCGACGTGATATTTTGCATTTGCGGCACTCAAGGCTGGCAACTAAAAATATGAACAAAATAAATGGATGCCACTGTCGTGGGGCGTCTATAATTTATGTTGTTATGTACAAAAATAAGCTAAAAATGCACGAGACCCCGACAAATATATTTTGAGTTGAGGTATGTAAAAATGTGCAAGGTCGACGGCGATGTGCACAGGGATACAGTGATGGGCACAAGGACGCCAGCTAACGGCGATTAGCTGCGTTGACTCCTACTTTTTAAAGACGAGTTTTCAATACAATTATCAGAGAACTCATTAATATGCATTGAATTTCGAAATCTTGAGCTGTTGTTGCTCTCCAAAGTTTGTATAGGACTTTGATGCTTTGGAAATGTTTATTAGCCGCATTGTTGCCCAATGAAATTAGTCGCATTTATGCGCAATTTCCGGCAACACACACACACAGAAGCAACACACTCACTTATTCACTCTAGAATGCGTGCAAATGTTGATGCTGTTTGCTGTTGAAATTTCATTACTATATGTAAACAAAGGCACGTGTCAATTGTCACAACCCCCGCTACCTGTTCTCAGCCTTTAGTTGTGGGCATTGGCGCATGCGCGGATAATATCTCAAGAGCGTGCCAACAATCCGTTATCCTTCTGTTGATTTCAAAATGCGAAACATGGCAATAAATCATTTTTATGCTCGTGTGTTTCATTCAATTATCAAAAATAATTTAAAATAATTTCACAAAACATAACTGTTATGCTGTTGTATTTTTTTGATGGCTCGCTTGCTGGTCACGTCGTAATCAGCAAAAGGTTCGCCTAGTTGTGGTTATAAAGCCGCGCACGTGACCCGCATTTCGTATGCGAAAACGTTCGTATAAATACAAATTTCTAATTTATGTAGTTTACGTTTTGGATTTATGGGCATTTGTATATGATTTTTGCTCTAAATGTTTATGCTTAAATAAACTGCAAACATGTATATATATATATATATATATATATATATATATATATGTATATCGATGGGTTTTTTGAGCCTTTCAGTTTGAGTACCAACGCGTGTGCGCTGCTTATGCATTCAAGTGGGCCACGCTGCGTATGAGTAATGCTCTCTTAATGCGTACGCTAATTTAGCACCTCAAAAGTGGACTTCATTCGAGTGCAGCGAGCATACACACACACACACACTGCTTGCCGGCTTGTTGACTTGATGGGCACTCAGTAGCTCAGCTGCGAATGCATTTGCCATTCGAATTATTCATTTGTGTGCCATTTATGCGGTGACTTTTGTTTACGAGTGTTTCTGGCTCCTAATTAATCTATTAAGCACATTAAGCTTATTAGGCTTATTAGGCTCCATGGACCTTGACACTTTCGCATACGCGACGCACAGCGCTGAAGTTGCGATTTTTGTCGTAACGCCCAGTGGGCGTGTCGGTCTCAACTAGAGGCCTGTCAGAGGCCAATCTCATAATCAGCATAATTTTCATGTTGTTACAACTAAAGGCAAAGTAAATATGTGGCTGGCAGTCACACGCAGACCACGCACACAGACACACACAAGCTTATATAGATTGTGTGGCTGAGATTTTCGTGGCATTTAGACAAAAGCCAGCCTTGTCCTAGGCATGATCTGGTCCGGAATGGCTGCCTGCTGGTTTTACCAAAACATCAGATCGAGATTATGCGCCAAGATAATTATTTGGCCTGGCCTGGTGCGGTTTCTCTGAAGTGTCCAGGGCCTACCATTTCCATTTACATATCCACATCCTCATCTACTTTTACTTTCATGTCTCAGCGCTTTATGCTCCGTGCGCCTGTTGGCAAGTTGTGCCCTGGAGACCAGTTGGGCTAGTGTAATTTTTATGTGTGTTCGTGTTGATGTTGCTGTTGGTGTGTGTTATTATCTTTGTTGCTGCTGGGCGTTACGTGCAAGTGTCATAAATAAAATGGCAACTATGTGAGGGCACCAACATGCCTGACCGCCTAAACATCATTATTATGTATTCCTTTTACCAACTCTAATATCAGAGACGGCCTGCTGGCCAGGGCCGTTGCCCGCTTCTCAGGCTCGGACTCACTTGCTTGTATTTCGAGTGAATTACACAATGATTTGCTAAAGTTGGTGGAGCTGGACGAGCTCTGCTAAATTTGATTTCGTTTGCACTAATTGTTGGCAGTGTAAAAATATGGCCAGCCATTTATCACAGACACTTGGACATGCTCGCAAAGTGGGTTTGGGTCTCCGTGTGGGTGGGTCGCCACCTTTAATTGGTTTTCTGTATGGATTTATGGTTGATGTTCGTGTAAACAATAACGATAACGTCCACAAGCATTTGTACAATAACGGAATAACGTTGCCCAACCCATTTTCACATTAATAGCTATACTTCACATTTGTAGCTGCTATTGAAAAGTACTCGCATATCAATTGCATATCATTTATTTAGTACACATTTTCATATAATCAAATATGATATATTTATAAAAGCTTTTCTTTTTCATTTTCTGCATGACCCTCAGAATTACTTACATGGCTCAACTGATATATACAAACCGAACAGG